CCAGTCACAGTCTCTTTTATGGTGTAATTTGTCTCCTTCTCACGTTTTTTTTAACTAGGATGTGGGTGTCAATGGCAAGGCAATTTAATGCCCATCCCTTGCTAACTTTCCCCTCCTCATAAACATGTTCAGAGACATTCTGACACACCTTTGGAATGGGTAGGATTTGAACCTGGTTCTCAGGTGTTTGCCAGACAATTAGGAGTTCAACTCAATGCTGTGGGTCTGGAGTTACATGTAGGTCAGACCAGGTAAGGATGGCAGATTCCCTTCCCCTGAACAGAATTTTAATTACAATCAACATAACAGCCTTATTAAGGGAGGTCAAATTTCACCACGTGCCATGGGGGCAATATGAACCCACTGAATGTTATTCTGGGGCCTTCAATGACTAGTCCAGTGACATTACTATTCCACCACCATCTCCTGGTTTAGAGGCAAAAAAAAGCTGTGTGTCTTCTCTTAGTGATGATTAGAATATTAGAAGCAATGGAACAGGCCATTCGGCCCAACCTATCTGTACTGTTTATGCTTCACATGAGGCACTTTCCAGCAGTCACCCGCTCCATTCCCTCCCGCCATGTGTTCGTCAGCTTCCCTCGGGATCACTTTAGTCACAAGCTTACTGACCTTCCATTCCTCCTTCTCAATCCTCAGCACAACTCTTCCCTCTTCGGTAACCACTCTCTCCTTGAGCCTGGCCAGATTTATTCGGTTCTGCCACATCATCGTTAGCCCTGTGGGCGCCTTCCGTTTCGACCGCGCTCTCTCTTTCTCATATTCTTCCTTCAGCCTTTGAATCCTTCCTTCCCAAAGTGCTCTCACCGTGCAAACCGAGCCGCCACACACCGACACCCCCATCATGGTTTCTAGTTTATAGCTGCCAGCCCTCCCCTCTTAGGCCACACAGACTGACATAGTCCCTGGGTTGGGCAGCAGGAATCACCCGCGGTCGGGGCTGCGGTACTGGGGAGGGAGGGAGACGCCTCTACTCTAACCCCACAAACACCCTCCCCCGGGGGTAACTCTGACCCACCCCCCCAGTGGGGCTAAATCTCCCAGAGGAACCTGTCTGATTTTCAATGGTACAGCTCTAGGTTGTGATCCCGGAGAGAAATGCGACGCTTAGTCTAAATTTAACCAGTGACTTAATAAAGAGACCTCTTCAGCCCGGGAGGCGAGACACAGTGACCGCTTTTGGTTTGTGGCCTGGTGTAATGTTTCACCTAAGTGTTTAGGATCCATTTTCCCGCACAGCCGCCCCCTTTGTATACTCCAGACAAAACCCTCCCCCACAAAAAAGAATGAGAAACACGTTTCTGCATCTCGCCCGAAAGCGTTTAATGAGGCATTTCTTGAGATGTTCACCAGATATCATGAAGGAATCTAAAGCCCTGCGTTTGTAAATGGGTAGCTTTTTTAAAAAAAAACTTATAAATGTCGTTGAAATGTTTTTACAAGACAGAAGTTGACTGGTGTCAGGAGGCTATAATTGAAAAATAAACTGTTGCCGACTGGTCAGTCACGTGAAGTGTGCTTTGGTATCGAATCATAAAATCCCTCGTGTAGAAGCAGACCACTCGGCCCATCGTGCACACCAACCCTCCTAAGAGTCTCCCAAACTGAATCATCCCCCTATCCCTGTAACACTGCATTTTCCATGGCCAACCCAGACTGCACATCCTTGGGCTGTGGAAGGAAACTGGAGCATCCAGGGGAAATGCCACAGTGAGAAGGGCCCTCCCTAACTGTATACGCCTGGACTCTCTGCATCACTGCCCTCGAAGTAGGTGCAGGTGTAACAAAATGTCACACATCTCCTTCTTGAATGTGCGTTTGCAAAGGAAGTCTGGACAGAGATGCAATAATTTTGAGGTTCATCTGGAGCAGCTTATGACGTAGGACTCTGTGCTCCAAAAGGCTGTTCCCCAGGACACACTCCCGAAACAAACATCGGCTGTGCCTGGAGGACCATCAACTCAGTGAAAGATGCTGTTTGGTCTGCCTGACCTCAACTGAGTCTTGCAGACTGGCACATTCCAAGGTCCAGGACTACATGCTAAGGGATGCATTAATGGTTGGGGCACAGCTGCTGTCAAGGTGCAGTGGGAAGACACCACCATCTAAGGTCTTTCTGCCAAAGTTAAATGGGGGCCTGTTCAGTTATTGGGTTCCCCGGTGCCTCAACTATATGTGAATATAGTCTTGTATAAGTAAGAAATGTCTTGGGTTTGTTTTGTTGGATACAGACAAATTCAAATGTTTGCTTGTTTCTCCATATGCTATTGTATAGAACAGAACTGCTTTAGTGACTTCGCACATAAAGATGTTTTTAAGGATAAAGTATATTTTTGAAATAAAAAAAATCATGGTAGGTGAGAGAGCAGCTCCCTGGCCCTCTTGGATTATAGAGATTTACCTTAATGAGCTGGTCGTGTTGTCAGTGACTACATCAGAATGGCAGTGGAAGAAAATGGCAAAAAAAAATGTGGGACCTGGAAACTGCACTGAAAACAACAAATGCTGGAGATCACAGTAGGTCAGACATGGAGAGAGAGCAAGCTAACATTTCGAGTCTAGGTGACTCTTCATCAAAGCTGAAGTGAAGTGATCTCCAGCACTTGTTGTCGTCAGTGGGAAAAACAGGCATGGAAATGACTCAGAATAGCACCAGTACAAACACTACTAGATGGAGACTGAGGCAGTCTCATTCAGCAAAGTCCAACACAGTCCTCACAGATCAAAGAATGAACAGGAAAGGAAAGCTGGAGAAATTAAGTAATTTATTGAGAAGGAGACATTGAACATCCCAGGGCTGTATGAAATGTGGTGGATAGAAGGCAAATTCACAAGTGATACAAAGAATATGATATATTCAGGAGGAGAAGGAAGGGAACATGAGTCGGGGGAACAACATGTGTAGAAGTAGATACTCCTCACAAGTGAACACCCAGCCGAGGATGGTAGAATTAAAAAATTAATCGAGCAGGCGAGTGGCAAGAGCTATAATCTGAGCTATTATAATGTTTGCTCAGAGGTATATGAGCAGTATTGTTAGAGATTGAAGAGGTGATAAAGAAGTAGGGGGTCTAATTTGAATTTGGAGTGGGGACGTGAGTGAGGCCAATAACTGGTAGGATTTTTGCAGAAGAATGGGATTCACGCTAACAAGTTTGAGTTTTAACTATCCAGAAAGAAGATATATGTGGAAAATGCATCCTGGTGGTGGTACAAACAGCAGCTACCTTTACCATGCAATATCTGGCATTCCTTTCCAGTGCTCAGTCTCAGTGGAACTGAATGTATGTTTCTGTGAAGAACAGGTGATCAATCTATTGCTGCCTGCTTTGAGCACCAACCCAAGATGAGTTTCTAGCCCAAGATACTTACAGTCAACCGACACACTTCAAACTGTGTGCAGTTCTGGTCGTCCAGTTACAGGAAGGATATTATTAAACTGGGGAGGGTTCATAAAAGATTTACCAGGATGTTGCTGGGAATCGAGTGATCGATATATAAAAATAGACTGGAAAGGCTGGGACTTTTTTTCACTGGAGCATAGAAGGTTGAGAGATGACCTTATTGAGGTTTATAAAATCATGAGGGGCATAGATAAGGTGAATGACAAGGGTCTTTTCCCTAGGGTAGGGGAGTTCAAAACTAGGGGGCATATTTTAAGGAAAGAGGAAAAAGATTTAAAAAGGACAATGAGGAACCAACTTTTTTTTTAACCAGAGAGTGGATCATGTGTGGAATGAACTGCCAGAGGAAGTGGTGGATGCAGCTACAGTTACAACAAATAGAAGACATTTGGATAAGTTCATGAACAGGAAAGGTTTGGAGGGATATGGGCCAAGCGCACGCAAGTGGGACTGGTTTAGTTTGGGAACATGGTCAGTATAGACCAAAGGGTCTGTTTTCATGTTGTGTGACTCTATGCCTATGACTGTAGGTGATCACAGCAGTGAATTGCTGACTGGAAGGAAGAAGGTATTGGAACATGGAAATTGGAACACAGTCAGATGTAATGTGAATCTAGGAGAATGGAATAGGGTCCTCACAGGAAACAGGACGTGAGGAAGTATCATCAGGGCAGTGGGTGGGAGTGAGTGGATTTATGGTGAATAATGGCCAATGACCTTGCCCCAGAAATGGAGGAAGGCAAGGGTTTGGAAATGAGCTGTTGTCCAATGACTCCTGTGGGGAGGCTGACGTGTGAACACCAAGGGAAAGGATGACCAGGCTCTACTTTGAGATTATGGGGTGGAATGATCTATCCCTTCCCTACACACAGGCAGAAGAATGCCCAGTGCCCATGGATCGCTATTCCAGTACAACTCAAAATTTTTAGGAAAGATAACTGGAGAAGAATTTATTTTAAGAATGCAATGGAAGCATAATAAAGGAGAACACATCTAAACATTGGAAACTGAAGATGGCTTAGAATTTGCGACGTCCTGACCAGAATCTGTTGTAAATGTACTTTAATTACAATCATCTCTCCCCCTCTATCTCTCGCCCCCACCCCCCCCGTCACCCATCCTATGCACTGCCCTCCGGTTGACCTGACCTTGTCCGCCGACTCCCTGATGATAGTCAGTCACATTTGCAACATTGCTGACATATACTGGCCCTCCTGTCAATATTGTAGAGCGCGGCTCACTGATATGCAAATCTCTCGAATCTCTCCCCTGGTTTTAGTTATATCCTAAAATGTTTATAACTCAAGTTTCTATTTGAAATGTAATGTCTGAAAGCGAGCGGCTTCTGCAAACAACCCCACTTTAAAAACGCAACTATGTCAACAGGAGTGCAATAAAAGCATTACTCTGGAGGAAATGTGATTTTTGTTAAAGAAAGGTGGACAGGGTCTGAAGAAGAATGTTGAAGGATATGCTTCTGCCGATATGCTTCTGCCAACATGCCCCATAGCTTGTGGGCAGACAGACAACGGCATCTGGCCGAAGATACAGAATCAATCAATTGAAATGGAGCCCTTGTCGGTTTTACCGCACTTTATTTTAGAAACTCTGTAAGAACGATACAATCATGAATCGATTTCCTTTAAATTTGAAAAAACTCACTTTAAAACATTACAATTTCCCTTTAAGACCCAACATTTTCCTCATTTACAAGCCTCGGTAACTTCAGTTAAAATATCGGTAAACAAAATTAAATAACTAACGTTAGCAAATAGCAGAGCCTATAGATACATCGGGAGCTCCTCTGTGTCAAATGCAGCTAATATACAAAATGGGAGAACGAATGGAACATGAGACAGAAATCTACAGAAAAGATGGATATTTTAACAGCAACCGATTTAGTACAAGTAAAATGTAACAACATTATCTGCTTTAAAGGACACAAACAGAAAGTCTTGCTGGTTTGGATTCCAAAATGCAAAAGTGTTGGTTTTTGGAAACAAAACAACTCTCCTGTGAGAGCAAACCCGATTTAGGGTGAAAGACGAGAGCGCCTTCAAGTTGAAGAGACGCCGAAATGTGATCACACATTCTCTGCGGTTACATTTCAAACCAGTCGGTAGTTTATAACAAAGTAAACAGACGTTGAGAAAGTATTTTTTAAAAAAATAAAATTACTTCCGATGTTGGATATCCGCAAGAAAAAGCAAAAAGTTCCTTTCTGATCGGTAAGTTTACTGCAGTTTGTTTCGGATGCTGAGGTTGCCCTCTCGGATTCTATTTCCTTACCGGGGGAGTCTGTGTTCACGGTGAAGAGCGGCTCTGCCAATGCTCAAGGTGGCGATCCCGTGTAGCAGCTTTGCATGTTATTTATTATTCGTGATACACAGCGAATACCAGGCAGAGAGCGAACAGCGAGTCGTTCTGGAAGCAGACTTCTGCATACGTGTCCACGGTGGGACTCCACACTGCTCTGCTGGAACAGCACAGACCCGAAGCTGTGGTCGCCCCGAGGACCACGTAGCAGACGATCTTGTACCTCTCGTAGCCCAGGGCTTTCACCGCCTTCTTCACACACTCAGCCAGCTCCACTGCTGCCAGAGCCGAGCCGTGCGGATCGTACTTGGCATCTTTCAGCCTGGCCTCTAGGACGGGCCGAATGGCAACCCGCGCCTCTTCAGCCGAGAAGGTCCTGGCAGCTCGGGGTACATACAGGTTCGTGGCGGCGCTGCTGGCGCCGCTACTGCTGCTGGGGCAGGGTTTCGGGCGCTGCCTCTGGCTCAGCCGCTCGGTTTTCTCTCGCCTCTTTTCCTTGCTGTTCTGGGCCAGGCTCCGGTTCCTGTGCAGTTCGTTGGCCCCTCCAGGCGAAGCCCATCCCTGGGATAGGTGACCGCACCAGCCCCGAGCCAAACGCACTGCCTCCAAACTGCTCGGTTTCTTCAGTCGCTCAGCCTCCCCGAAGCCGCAACTTCCCATTTTCGCTTCAGCGTGTGGCGGAGAAAACACTGACGTCTCTCCCTTTAGTTTCGCTGGTACAAGCTCATATCCCTGCTACCGTGAGGCGGGGTCGGGGAACTGAACTGAACCTCAGGCGATGTCGGGGGAGCTCAGCTGTGAGCTACATACTCACTCACCATCTGCAACCGAAGTGGGAAGGTGGGATATTTGAATTCAGAAGGAGGCTGGCCAGGGGGAGGCGGATTGAGAAAATGAATTGCAATAACCTGGTGCTCGTCATACTGTGTACAAGCGCCACTGTCCCCACTCTTTCAGCCCAAACATTAACCCGTTTTCAACCCAGTTACAGCCTTCCAAATACAACTGTCAGTTTTAAATAAAACGGAATACCAAATGTGATAATTTTCCTAACCAACATGCCCAGAGCTCTGAGCTATGATTTGAACTCGGATTTTCTGGTCTAGAGTGATAGACACGTCCAAGTCAGACCATGGGTAGGAATCCAACTACCCTATCCCAGCCACAAAGCTTCTGTTATTTTAACCACCTGTAGGGACGTCTCATGGCGTACAACATAAGGGTGTCCCACAAAGTTCAAGGATAATTGAATGGATTTGAGTTGAGCTAAGGGAATTTTTAAAAAGAGGTGCAATCACATGGTTCAAGATCACATTTTTGGGGAGGATGTACAGAAACAAATCTGAAACGAAGTTAGGTGCAAACATCATACAGTAGTTATAACAGGGAACTTTAATTACCCATTATATAGATGGAGATAATGGTAAGGTGCAGGGAGGGACAGACATTTCTAGATTGTGTTGAGGAGAATTTCTACAGCAGGATGTAATCAATCCAACAAGAAAGGAGGCACTGATGGACCTGGCTCTTGGGAATGAGGCAGGCCACTTAGATCAAGTGGCAGTGGTGCATCATTTAGGGGACAGTGATCATTTTATCATAAGGTTCAGGATGATGGTGAAAAATAACAACAAACTGACTTTAATGGAGCAAGAACAGAGCTGTGCTGAATAGACTGTAACTGAAGATTAATGGAAAAACAGTTGCTGAACAATGGGCTATCTTCAAAAAGGAGATGTAATGAGCACAATTAAGATTATTCCCTCAAAAGGAAGAAGTGGGACAAACAGTCCGTAGGTCCCTGGATGGAAAAGTGTGTTTATGTTGGTGTCAGGTAGAAAATACAGTTGAGAACCAAGTTGAATACAGAAGGCTCAGACAGGATGTGAAAAAGAAAATAAAAGAAGCAAGGAGGGATTCTGAGTAAAGACATAATCTCACATAATGGGAATCCCTAAAGTCTTCTATGAAGCACTTCAATAGTTAAAGGGTGATAAAATGAGCAGCAGGGCTAATTAGGGACCAAAAATGGCATTTACGCACAGAAGAGGTATGGCAGACCCATTAAGTAATCACTTTGCATCAGTCTCAGAAGGGTTTAAAATTGATAAGGAACAGCCATCAGAGAAACTGTCAACACATAAAAATTGATAAAGTACCAGGAGTGAATGAAATGCACCCAAGACTATCCAAGGAAATGATGTGCAAATTGCAGAGGCACTAACAATAATCTTCCAAGCTTCCTTCAACTCACATGGTGCCAGAGGATTGGAGAATTGCCAGAAACAGTAGCATATCTGAAGATTGGTAAATTTTTAAGAATACAGCAAAAGTGGACAAGAAACTGATAAGGAAAGAGAGACTAGGATATGAATTCAATCTAACAAATAAAACATAAAACATGGACTGCAAACTCTTCTATAGATACAAAAAAGATTTAGCTAAGTCAAATGTGGGTCTATTACAGGCAGAGTCAGGAAAATTTATAATGGGGAATAGAGAAATGACTGAGAAGCAAAATGATTACTTGCTGTCTGTATTCACTATAGAAGATACAATAAACTTGCCAGAACTACAGATCCAAGTGGCTAGAAAGAAGGAAGAGTTGGAAGAAATTAAAAAGATGATTGTACTGGAGTAATTAATAAGGTTGAAAGTTGTTAAGTCCCTGGAACATTATGTTCTACATCCTGGAGTGCGAGAGGAAGTGGCTATGGAGATAGCTGATGCGTTGGTGAATATCTTCCAAAATTCTATAGATTCTGGAATGATTCAGGTGGATGTAAAAGCAACAAATGTCACCCCACTACTTAAAATGGGAGTAAGAGAGAATTAAGGGAACTTCAGACCTGTTAGCCTTACAACAGGAGGAAAAATGTTAGAATCTTATTATAAAGACTGTGATAAATGTACATTTGGATAATAATGATCTGATTGGGCAGAGTCAGCATAGATTTGCAAATGGGAAATCATGTTTGATTAACTCGGGATTTTCTTTGAGGACGTTATCAACAGAAGTGATAAATGGGAATCAATGGACATAATGTACTTGGATTTTCTGAAGGCTTTCAATAAGGTTCCCATAGGTTAGAAAAATTAAACACATGGGTTTGGAGATAATATACTGCCATAGCCTGACCAGTGGGGGAACCATAAGGATTAGTATTTGAGCCCCATCTGTTCGTAATATATATCAATGACTTAGATACGGGAATGAAATGTAATATTTCCAAATTTGTGGACAATACAAAGCTAAGCAGGAATGTATGTTGACAGGAAAAGTGCAAAGCAGCTTCAGGAGGTTTTGAACAGGTTTAATGGGTGGGCAAGAACACGGCAGATGGAATTTAATATTAAGAATTATGAAGTTATTCACATTGGCAGGAAGAACAGATGTGCAGAGTGTTTCTCAAATGGTAAGAAGTAGAACCTAGGTGTCCTTATCAACAAGTCACTGAAGGCTAACATGCAGGTGCAGCAAGCTATTAGAAAGGTTAATAGACTACATTCCTTCTAATATTTCTTGCTGCTGTGTGGATCTCTGAGGTCCGAGTGCAACTGTGGCTTCCGGAATCGGAAGTCAATGTGTCTGCACACGTGTGCATAGAACCTCCAAGCGGCTGCCCAGCTTAGAGCGAACATTGCTAATGGAATATTAGCACTGATTACATGAGGATTTGACTAGAGGAATAATGAAATCTTGTTGATAAGCCTGGTTAGACTTCACCTGGAGTGCTGTATGCAGTTTTAGTCTCCTTAACTCAGGAAGGATATTATTGCCAAAAGGGAGTGTAATGGTAGTTCATTAGACTTGTTCCTGTGATGGTGGGACTGTCCTATGAAGAGTAAGTATGGAAACTGAGCCTGTATTATCTCGAGTTTTGACGAATGAGAAGTGATCTCACTGAAACCAACAAAATACTTAAAAGGATAGCGAGGGCAGAGACAAATATAGGCTTTACCCTGGTTGAGGAATCTAGAACCAAGGGGCACAATTTAGCATACAGGGGATGCCACTTAGAACAGAGATGAGGAGAAATGTTTTTGTTTAGAGTGTTGCGAATCTTTGGAATTCCTGTGTCCAGAGTTGTAGAAGCTCAGTCATGAGTATTTTTAAGGGAGAAACTGACAGATTTTTAACTAACAATGGTGTATAGTGTTATGATAGGTGTAAAGGCATTGAAGGGCTCAATCTGCCATGATCATATTATATGGCAGACAAAGGCTGGACAGATTGAATGGCCCACTCTTGATCCCACGTAAGCAAGGAAGTTGGGCTGAACTTTCACAAAGCACTGGTTGGATCTCAGCTGCAATATTCTTGCCAAAACTTTAGGAGCGAGATCAACATCTAGAGTAGGTGCAGAGGAAATTTACTAGAATAATACCAGACATGGAAGACTTCAATTACATAAAAAGCCGTGAGAAACTCAGATTGAATGGGGGAAGACTATTGATAGCTGCAGGACAAAGGGATTTAGAGGGCATGTATTACAAAAAGCTAATATTCTGTATTCAGCAGATGATAGGAAGGCAAATGGTTGGCCTTCATTTCAAAGGGAATTAAGTATGAAAGTAGAAAGGTCTTGCTAAAATTATATAAGGCACTAGTCAGACCACAGCTGAAATGACTGTCAACTGTTTTGATCCCCATATAGATAGATAGATAGATATACTGATATTTGAGGCAGTCCAAAAGAAGGTTCACTGGGTTGATACCAGATATGGAATGACTGTCTTAAGAGGAGACATTGAATAGGTTGACTTGAACACAACAGAGTACAGAAGAATTGAGAGGAGACATTATTGAAACATTTGAGATTCTTAGGGGACTTGACAGCGTATGTATGGAGAGTTGTGGCATAGTCAAGAACCAGAAAGCATAATATCAGAATAAGGGATTGCCCATTTAAGACAGCGAGGAGGAGGAATTTCTTCTCTCAATAGGTAGTGAATCTGTGGAATTCTTAAACACAAACAGCCATCTAGGCCATTGAGTATATTCAAGGCTGAAATAGACAGATTACTAATCAGTAAGGAAATCAATGGTTATGGGGGAAAAGGTAGGAAAGTGGAGTTGAGGGTTATCAGATCAGCCATGATCTTACTGAATGGCAGAATGGACTTGATGGGCCACATGGCCTACTTCTGTTCCTTGTTTTATAGTCTTAGAGCAAAAAAGATTGAGAGATTTGCTAAACCTATTTAACATCTTGAAGGATTTTAATAGCTTAAAGAAGGAGAAATTATTTCCAGATGACAGAAGAGCTGGTAATCAACCACAGGACTCAAATTTGACATAATTTTTGAAGGCAATTGCCAGAAAATGAAGATTCCATATGGTAAAATGCTTATTTGGTTTAAGATCTGGAATGCACTGAAAGCGTGGTGGACGCATATTTAATAACATTGCAAAATAAATTCAATAAAGTGTGAAAAAAACTGCAGTGTTAATAACAAGAAGCAGGGAAGTGTGACTAATTGGATAATTCTTTTAAAGAGAGGGCAGACACAACAAGTTGAAAAGCTTCCTTAGAGATAGTAGGAACTGCCGATGCTGGAGTCTGAGATAACAAGGTGTGGAGCTGGAGGAACACAGTAAGCCAGGCAGCATCAGAGGAGCAGGAAAGCTGACTTTTCAGGTCGGGACCTTTCTTCAGAAAACTTTCTGCTGTGTTCCTCCACCTCCACACCTTGTTATCTGAAAAGCTTCCTTCCTAGCTATACTACTTAATAATTTTAAGAAAAGCAAGAGTTTGTGTTTTCCAAATGGATTGAACAGACACTCAAGCTGTGGTAATTTCTCACCAGGTTGTTTCAAAATCTCAAGCACTGGTATGGGCTCCTGGTACAGATACCCAACTGACTGGTAAAATGGGAGAGAAAAGTTCATTTCCTGTTTTTGAAGGTATCAAGGTGTGCAGGTTGCCTAAAAATGGAATGGGAAACAAGTGAGACAAAAGTGACAGAGGGAGAAGACTCTTTTAGTTTCAAACATAATTCCAGAATGGAGAGCATAAACTCCGGATACCATAAATGATATAATAATTATTCTGTCTCTGTCCTAAAGCCAATAGTGACATTTGAAGTTTTTGTATGTTGCATTTAAGTAACTAATTAGTTATAGATTTCACAGCACATTGCTAAACGTAATCTTTAGTTTACAGTACAATACTGTGCTTTACGTACACTTGTTATTCAGATGAAATGATGTACATTTTGATAGCATTTCAGCTTCTATCCTGAAAAAAAGGCTACAGATTGGAACAAAAACACAACTGTTCACGATGCACAATAAAAGAGCTTTGATACCTGAAGAAATCTTAGTGAAATACATAAAGTTAGTAAAAATAGAAGTAACATTCAAAGCAAATTGGAATTTACAAACATACTTCTCCTTCCAAAATCTCAAACCAATTATGTAAATATTCTTCCATCAAATAATCTTGAAACCTGTTAGTACTGCGCAAGTTATACTTTTTATAAAGTGTTACAAAATTAAAGCCTCCTGCAGAAGATGTTGTTTCACAGTAAATATTTATTGTGACCAATCTTTTAAAAGATCAGAACAATTATATATCATAGATAGTTTGCACATGATATTTCGGCTTTAAATTAATGTTGGAATATAATGTTTCTCAGCGAATCAGAACCTGGAAATTGTCAGTTAAATAAAACTACATGAACGCTTCGAGCACCGACTAGTGTTTCTGCACCAAAATGTAACCAATAACATTAGGCCTGCTTTATTAAAACAGTACAAATTATTAACATGCCATTGTTCTGAACATTTCTAATATTTCACAATTGGTTGTAAAACTTCTGCAGCCACCGTGTAACAGAAGCAACAAGTGTATTCTGAAAGCTTACAAAAGGCTTCAGTGCTTGGAGGCACAGGGATAATGAACAAATTAGACTGCAAACCGTTTTGATTGAATTATGGCATGTGTTTATACAGTTAAAGCTAGATGCTACAATACTTACTTTTCACAATGACCTTACCATTTTTGTTTTTGGTGGGCAGGGGAGACAGGGAGAGAGTTTAAAGGAAGAGGAAGTAGAGAAGATGTTTAATGCAAACCTCACCCTGCAAGAATTATACCCCTTCCATCATTTAATTTAAAAAAAGAACCAAAATCTGACCTCTACTAAATATAAACCGCTGCTTTAGACAAGTCACTGTTCAGAATGAAAAAAACCAAAACAGAAGACCGTGGCAGCATTTATAAATCAATTTGAAATAAAACCTATTACTCTTGAAACTAGTCTGTTGAACTAAGTTGTTGTTTATCAATGACCTTTCTTTACTTTAGGTCTAGCAGCATGGATGCAGGATTCTCCAAGTAGGATTTCCAAAGGTTTGAAAATCGGGCCATTGTGGCTCCATCAATAATCCGGTGATCAGCTGACCAGCTTACATTCATGATTTGAGCCTTGATCACTTCACCTTTATCATTAAATCGTGGCAGGACCTAAAGCATTAAACATCTCAATTAGAAATGTGGGTAAAATAGTAGGAAACTATTAGCAAATATTTGGATTCCTGCAATCACAAGAATAATTATACCAAATTACAAACCTGTATCTTTCCAATAGCACCAATAGCTACTTCTGGAGGTAGTATCACAGGTTTAGCATAAGTGCCACCAATCTACAAACATACAGATACAGCACAGTAAATATCACTGAAGCATTCCACATTCTAAAACTTACTTTACAATTAAACAAAAGAAACTGCATTGTCAGTTGAACAGTGGAGATCTAACTGGTTATCCAACTGGCAATGAGTCAATGTCATTGTGCACACAGGCATCATTAATGTTATCACTACAGGTCCAGCATACTGCATACAGTATCCACAGCTAGTTGCAACTTATGGGTGTACAATTTAATATAATTACTAACAGGTAACATTCATTGGATGGATCTGTTGGCTTTATAATCACTTTGTGATCCGTCACCACATTGATTTTAGCTTGTGAGCAGGAATGGCAACATTACACTAAACCATTGTGCAAAAGAGTAAATAAAATTTTAAGTGGAAGATTCATTTGATTACACCAGTCAAATTTTAAAGACTACATTAATAATGAGAATTAAAATGTAAAAAATACCCAATGCTCATGTAACTAAAAATTTTACTCAAGACCAAAAGGTCATGAGCGTAAATGCCAGGGTTGCCCAACTTGCCAACCTGGTTTTGTTTGGTGGATAGGAAGAACAGAAGCAGTCAGCTGAATGAAGTACTGCATAAATACGAGATGCCCGCACCAGAGAATGAAGAACCAATGAGAATCATAAGGCTCAATCTACACTTCCTGCAAATTTAAAATCAGCAATGGGTAGGACTAAGGAATTGAAAGAAACAAAGTTGATATATTAAGACATTTGTTTGACAGAAAAAAATGAAAAGGGCAATAAATAAGCACTTATGCTTATACGTAGCATTTCAAAAAGGATTTAAACTCTAAATGTTAGGTAATTAAATTAAGTGATATTATCTCATTGTTTGCCAATCGTGTAGATCACACTCAATCTAAAATGATATAATGCTCATTCAATGTTTTTATAAGGACGACACACATGCTGATATCTGCCATGTCCATCACTTTCCCACTGTTCACTCGTATGAAGATGAAAATTGCATAAAACAATCCTTCCAATCTCCATTGTACAAGTGATAAATAAAACAGCCACACAAGATTAACTGCAACACTGTAATTTCAACATGGGATTTACTGACTACTAACCAGCTTCGTTTCCCTGTTTCCAGGTTGCGAGCACAATGTAATTTTATAGTAATAACTGTTCAGGCACCATTCATCCTAGATTCAGCTCAGTATTTAGCCCTATTCACATGCCCATGTTACTTCAAAACTTGAGAAATTGCTTTGCATGGCAAAATCGATAATCTTGCTATTAGGGTTAAAAGACAGACTTGCAGCATAGCCTCAAATAACCAGTTGGAAAAATATCAGAAAGTGTGTGTGTGTAAGGAATATATTTGGAAGTTTTGTTGGACAAATCTACAGTTCAAATTTTATTTTCTTGGGGTGAATGACATCAGGAACATGAGATGGAAAATTTTCGGCTCAACTCTCAGCAATTCAAAACAGGAAACAGAACAAAAAAATAAAAAAAAAACATGCATTACACCAAGAGCATCTCGACAGCAACACCTCTGTAGTAGCTCAAGTAAGGCTGATATATTAATTACTTGTACAGAACAATGGGTTCCTAATGGAGAGTGTTTACAAGAAACTAGTTTAATGCTGCTTTAAACTTACATCACACTCGAGTAATAAATTGGTAGCCTCCAGGCTAGATTTGAACCTGAATTAGGTCTGATAAGTAGAAATGCACATACAATATTGTTTTAATTTAGTTACATGTCAAATTATAGAAATTAAGTTAGTCATATTATTTATCAGCTGCAGTTAAATTTTATCCTTTTACCTCTGAACCCTATACAAGTTAATATCTCTCACAGCACTCTAATATTGTCTTATGCATTCTTGCAGTGGATGGCAGAACTCATTACTTGAATCATTCCTTATTTGGTTTAGAATTCAAATGACTAACACTTTTTTCAAACAGGTGACATGACAGAAGGCTGCAGTCAGAGAAAACTGCTGAGAACACAGATCTTGTGACGGCAGCTGGGTATCCAAAGGTCAGTAATAATAACAAATCGCATTCTTACAGAAACTATATCTGGTTTGTACTTCGAATATCTGTCAGAAATGTGGTATTAATTAATTAATAAATAATAATTATTAGTAGTAGTAATAATAATTAATACTAATTATTAGTATTAGTGGTGGATTATTAGAAAGCAAACGAAAGGCAAAGACATAGGAAGCTGCTGTAAAGAAACTGTATTTTACTGACCGTGCCAATGTTGGAAAGAGCGAATGTCCCTCCAGTGAGGTCATTTGTCCCCAGCTGATTGGCAGAGCCCAAAGTTTGCAGCCGGTTTAATTCTGCTGCAATCTCAAAGACACTAAGGACCTGAACATTCTTAACAACTGGAACAATCAGACCTTGCTGCGTATCCATAGCGATACCTATGTTGTGGGAAGCCTAGTCAAAAATATAAGTGTCAGAAGTAAGCCAAATAAATATTTCACAAATTACACACATGCAATTGAGGTAACTCTCATTCAAGACTGCTAACATTTTCTTCACCACGGGTAAGAATTTGCTGTTAATTCATTAAGTTAAAGTTATTTATCAGTCACTTGTTTTCTCATAACAGTCTGTCACACTTTAGCAGGTGCAATACAGGTGCGAATGCTTCTGTTGGGCCTGGTACTTGGAATTGAAGAACAAAACGGTACCTCACCGGATTTAACCATTCAAGCCTGACAAATAGACTTATGCAACATTTTTACTAAAGACACTTTCTTGACCAGCTACATGAATTATTTTGGAAGAGGATGGTGAGGATGGAAAATCATAACTGAGCCAATGCCATTTTCGTACAATGTCAACATATACACTTTCTAGGAGTCGTCACTGGACACAAATCATGAGTGGTGACCTTACTTGACTTCTCTTTCCCTTAGTGCTGATAATAGCTGTGTAGCATTCAGCAGGTTCAAATATCATCATTCAGTTAAGATTGGTAAAAACTGGAGAACTGAATTAGGGATATTCTAGACAGCATGATACATGAGACAATGGCATTAAGGACATTAATTAAAAATTTTGGATTTCTATTCAGGTAAGGAATTGTTTCCTGATCTTTCAATCACAAAAGCAGTTTTGTAGTCAATGTTCCTGTACAAGACAGATAATTTTCTATTTCTGCTAATGTTGTTAACTATGTACAGACTTGTTGTTACAACAGATTAACAGTTCTCCAAGTAATGAAATTTTGGCAAAAGGCTTTATAGAAAGCAATGAATGTTCCAGCAGTGTGTTAAGTGTTGTGCTGGAATCATGCTTGTTTGAGTTTACAGATTAGCTGTACTTAAGGAGCACAGGCTGTTCTAGAGTACTATCAAAAAGCTCCCTTTTAATTTCAGCACAATAAATAAACAATTACTTTTGTAATCTTTGCCTTTCGACTGAGACAGCGAAGTAAGACTGAATAATTCTTGCTCAAATACAAGAGTACATCTGTTACAGGACAGTAAACGTACAAAAAATCAATATTCAAATACAAAACATTTACTGATTTTTACTTTTTAAGAAATATTAGACAGCAAGCAGTCTTGCTCTTTAAATCAACAATTTTGGAATGCCATGTCCTAATCTAAATCCACTGTCACCATTATTACATTATACGCTTATACTGCCCAAGCTTTGACTGAAAAGTAAACTGTCAAAAATTATGAAAAATACACCAGCTGCATCTTTATCAGCAAGGGTTCAAAAAAGTGACTTCTTCCTGGTCAAAGGTGTTCAGACTTGTGAACTAGATTTAAACGCCAGTTTACAAACACATTAGAATGATGCTTTTAATTAGTCCTAGACCTTCACTCAAGAAGCAGGAATTGTTTATACAGAGATAGCAAGAACTCCAGATGCTGGAGTCAGAGTTGATACAGTGTGGAGCTGGAGGAACACAGCAGGTCAGGCAGCATCAGAGGAGCAGGAGAGTTGACATTTCGGGCCTAGACCCTTCATCACGACTGGGAAGGGGGAACAGAGCTGGGAAATAAATAGAGGTAAGAGGGGTGGAATGTCCATGAGTGGAACACTCCGTCTTGGGAGCAGATACGGCGAAAGCGGAGGATTTGAGAGTAAGGGATCGCATTTTTGCAGGACGGTGGGTGAGAGGAGGTGTAGTCAAGGTAGCTGTGGGAGTTGGTGCGTTTGAAATAGATGTCAGTGCTGAGATGGTTACTAGATATGGAGACATAGAGGTCCAGGAAGAGGAGGAAGGTGTTGGAGATGGTCCAGGTGAATTTGAGGTTGGAGTGAAAGGTATTAGCAAAGTTGATGAACTGTTCAAGCTCTTCATGGGAGCCTGAGACAGCACCGATACAGTAATCAATGTAGCGGAGAAAGAGGTGTGTGGGATGGCGCTGGTGTAGCAGCAGAAGAGGGACTGTTTGACATACCTAATGAAGAGGCAGACAGAGCTTGGACCCATAGCCATCCCTTTGGTTTGCAGGAAGTGGGAGGAGTTAAAAGAAAAGTTGTTAAGGGCAAGGACAAGTTCTGTTAAGCGGATGAGGGTGTCAGTGGAGGGGGACTGGTTAGGCCTGTGGGAGAGGAAGAAGCGGAGGGTTTTTAGGCCATCTGTGTTGGGGATACATGTGTACAGGGACTGGATATCCATGGTGAAGGTGAGGTTTTGGGTGCCAGGGAATTGAAAGTCCTGGAGGAGGTGGAGAGCGTGGGTAGTGTCCTGAAGGTAGGTGGGGAGCTCCTGGACCAGGGCGGAAAAGATAGAGTCAAGGTAAGCGGAAATGAATTCAGTCGGGCAGGAGCAGGCAGAGACAATGGGTCAACCGGGGCAGTTGGGTTTGTGGATTTTGGGAGGAAGATAGACATTACCATGGTACAAAGTCATCCACAATGTGGAAAACGTGCTGCAAAACTTGGAATACCTAGTTTGCATGCAGCTGACCATTCTATTGCATTTTCTTTATGGATAATATTGAAATCTACTTTGTCACCTTCTTTAAAATTAGCACAGTGACTTCAGGAGTAAGACTTATCTGCTATTCTGCAGCTGTCAGTGGACTCTAAAGGGTTTTCCCACACTTTAGTGCATTTTAACTTACATATTCAAAATGTCATTCTCTATCTGAGGAATAAGACTCAAAGCAATGTTATAAAGGATCATGAGAAATCTGCCTCTGACATTCACCATGTACTAATAACGATTTAAATCACAGAATCCCTACAGTGCTGGAAAAGGCCTTTTGGCCCATCAAGTCTGCACCGATCCTCCAAAGAGCATCCTTCCCCTGACCCTATCCTTGTAAGCTAGTAACTACCATGGCTAATCCACCTAGCATGCACATCCCTGGACACTATGGGACAATTCAGCATGGCCAATCCACCTAACCTGCTCATCTTTGGACTGTGGGAGGAAACTGGAGCATCAAGAGGAAATGCATGCAGACATGGGGAGAATGTGCAAACTCCACACAGACATTCACCCAAGGAATCAAACCCATACCTCTAGTGTTGTGAGGCAGCAGTGCTAACCACTGAGCTACCGTGCCGCCAGATTTATACTGAGGAATCCAACTGCTGGAGAAAAGCTGCTGAGAATTGTACGTATCATATTTTGCAAATTATACTGATTCTGTAACACTCACAGGAAGAACACATAATAGCTATAAAGAATTTTGATTTATTTGTCACTTTTCATAACATGCATGAAATTCTAAATTACTGTACAGCCAAATGAACCACCTTTGAAACCTCATCTTAATATGGGAAAACATGTTGCAGTCTTGTTATGCACAACAAAGTCCTACAAACTGCAGTGACACAATAACTAAAATAATGCATTTTTGATTGTACTTTTTGAGAGATAAAAGTCGGCTAATGCCAACTAATGGTGTAGGACTTTGTTTATTTACACTTTGAACTGTGTTGCATTCCCTAGTTACCTTATTGTACTCTTGTATGAGTCTAATTTATACTTGTAAAATTTAGTCTGATCTTGTTCAAACATTTAATCTCTCATTTAAGCCAGATTATTCCCTCGTCTATGTGATATTGCCACCTCCCCAAAAATAAACAAGAGAGTGTCTAAGTTTAGCCCAGCAGAGGTACTTCAAGTGAAATCATTGTGCCAGAAAACAGAGCGCCAAAACCCTGGTGTAACATTGAGATAATTCCGCAACAAAGGATGCAATTGATGGTTGAGACACAAATCAATGAAATGCACCATTTAGGATACACTCTGTCTGAATGCAAAAATCAAACAGAATCTATGTTTACTGTCATCATCTCATCCCTAAAGCCCAGAAAGCAGTTCTAACAAGAAAGGGGAGGCACAGTGGCTCAGTGGTTAGCACTGCTGCCTCACAGCACCAGGGACCCGGTCTCTGGTCCCAGGATTCCAGCCTCGGGCGACTGTCTGTGTGGAGTTTGCACGTTCTCCCCGTGTCTGCGTGGGTTTTGTCCAGGTGCTCCAGTTTCCTCCCACAGTCCAAAGATGCGCAGTTTAGGTGGATTGGCCATGCTAAATTGCCCGTAGTGTTCAGGGATGTGTGGATTAGGTGGGTTACAAGGGGATGGGTCTGGGTGGGATATTCTGAGGTTCGGTGTGGATTTGTTGGGCCGAAGGGCAACACTGTTTCCACACTGTAGGGATTCTATGACTTCTAAAGCTGAGCTTGCTAAAAGAAGTATGTGATATTCAGATTCATCTTTAGTTCTCAAGAGAACCAGGTTGCTTTGGGCAATGATCAGAAAAAGAATTTCTAGGGAGCAGATTTTATTGATACTACTCTGTGATTGATATTAATGAAAAAAGCAATTTTGCTGTTCCTGACTAGCATGGGTAAATTTGCAATCAATGATCATGAACTAGACACCCCCTGCAACCTGTACAGATGGTGACAAAACTAAAAAGAATACTGCATTTAAAATAAAATGATCCCTAAAAAGCCAAACAAAGAAAAGTACTTCAGATGCAGGACTGAAATTCCTGTGTAAGCTTATTGACATTGGACAACACTTAACAAAACGTTAATCACACATTGTGAACTATATAACATTCTGACATTAAAATTAAAATTGAAAGTTGAATGTGACTAGCTCTATCTTTCTGGTCAGATTTCAAGAAATTTGCATATTTAGTTTTCAAGGATGTACAATGGTTAGGCACTAGCAGCAGACTGTATAGTGAAAGTTAAACAGCGTAGCTATGGATATAAAACTATTTCTATTACTTAATCATTAACTTACAAGAAAACACATCAACAGGGCCTTGTTAGATTAATTATTTAAGGGATATGTTATCAGATCCAAAAACTGAAATCACAATGTGTTCTTCTATGAGAATGCTGCATGTCTAAATTCAGATGAAGCTGTCCAAATACAACGCTGAACCTTGTTTGCCATTGTTAGTCTACAAGTAATTGTTCTTTTATGTAATAAAGTTGAGCACAAAATGTATCCAAAAAGTACATACACATGAGAGTCTGAAATTTTATTTATCAGTTTTGTTGAAGGGAAATTCAAAATTCTTCAGGTATAAATTTTACTGCTGAACTAAATCATGTCACATTAATCAAACTAAGTTATAGACAAATTAGCAGAAATCATTTATATCTGGAAATAATTGAAACTGTTTAAGGTTTATTAATATTTAGAGAACCGCCAAAATCAAGCTGTTTTTCTTAATAGTCATTTTTCAGCTTCATGTGTGACAATTATATAGTTTCCTTACCTTATAAGTTACAAATTGGCAGTTTTCATCCAAAGAAGCATTTAGGATAGGATACTGTAGCAAACCCAAAGATGCTGCCTATTAAAATCAAGCACAAAACAAATTCAATGGATCACATTTATTCAATTTTAGAAGCCACTTTTTTTTATCTTAAAATAAATGAAATGGATTGTACTTCATATGACTGCTTCTCACATTTTCATATTTGTCTAAAGGTATAAAAATAAAATCAGCTATCCCAAATCATTTACCACTGGGTCGGTAATAGTTTCAAATAGTTTGACTAAAATATTTCAGTGCACATTACACAGGTATTACAGCTAATAACTGTCACTTTTTACACATTTAAAGACTGAAGTTTGAAATGTATTATTTTTTGCGCAATCTCCTGTGGAACTGGTCATACTGTTAAGAACATATGTTTCCTGTTGTTGTAAATTGCCATGGAAACATTTGCCTTTGAATTCTACAATTAAAATTTATTTGTAGATACAGGTCATTAAGTACTGGGAATTTTGGATTTTTCTCTCTGAACTATGTAAAAAAATCTATTCATCAAGAGACTACAAGGAATGCCTCAGGCATAAATACAGTTACCAAATGCATGTAAGTGTTGAAACTTTGATGAATGGGATTGAAAGCCTTCAATAACAGAAACAAACAAAAGCAAATATAAAGAAATTAGAAGAAAAAAAAAATTCCCAAACAACAGCCAACACATGCTATTCAGCAGATGCTACGAGAGAAGATTTGCATTGAATTGTCCCGCAGTGGATTAAAACTCAACACTGCAACATTCAGTTCATGTGAAGTTCTTATTTTCAAATGCTTTTTAAATGCAAACACTTTTAAAATGCAAATTTCAGTTTTGACTGCAGTCAACATTCTGATTTATTTTGTTCTTCCCACCTTTAGAAAGAATGGCATGAAAGAGAGCTTGATCCCTCGATCTTCAGTCACAACTTTTAGCTCTTTCCGTAGCTTCACAAGACGAGTTAAATCCACTTCATCACAGTAACCAAAATGAGGAATTTTCAGAGCAGCGGTCATGGTCTTTACCATAGATTTCTGGATCCCTGTAGTCAAAAAATATCCAAGCTGTTTCCTGGCTATTACGTTAAAATTTGTATACATAATATTTAAGAATAAGATCATTCCATGGATTTAGTTGTTTATATGTTACAGGTTTACGATGAAAATAATCTTATCTAACTAGTTCATATATGAATTTTCATGGCTGAAATTGATTTACATGGAGTGTTGGCTGCAGCCAAACAGAATCTTTGAAAATGTCTTGCACCTTCTGCCCTTCATGCTTTAATGATTTCCCCATGCCAATCTCTACATACTCTCCAGGGGGAGTATCCCATGGTTCTGGAACTGGCTGCTTGAAAACTTGCCACAGCAGCTTGTGCTTTCTCATCTTTTTAACCTAGAAGAAATGGGAAGTAGAAGGAACATACAACAAACCTTCAACCACTGTTTTCAGCATTAGCAATGATGTGAGTGAGAAATCCCCATAAAAGAAACAGTAGATACTTCTTCACTTTGTGCCACTTTCTGGCATAGTGAACAAATATTTCAATGCAACTGTCACTGTATCTATCCAGATCATCGACTTTTAAAAATCACAATTAAACTTAATGAATAATTTATGACATTTACAACACGTTACCTTTAACTGGCTCAGTTCGATCTTTTCCAGTAAATGCCAAAGTTGGAGTTATTGGTTTAGGAACTGGTGGCGTCCCTTTCGGTTTTGATTGAACTGGTTCCGGTGGAGGTGGACTAATCTCAGGTGATGGTGGTAAAATGGCCCCAGTTTGTTTAGCTAAGTAGTTCAGTATGTCCTCTTTCAGGATTCGTTCGTCTTTTCCAGTCCCAACCACTTCACTTAGCTTTATCTGAATTAAAATAAAACACACTAAATATTTGTAATTAAGCTGCTTAACATAGATAGATTACGAAGTTACTTACTAACTGGTCAGTGGACTTCTAACAGATGCTGTCACAGAGAGGAGGCTCACAAATTTGATGCTGCTCTGCTCTATGCATCCCAAGTTTTAAGCGAAGCAAAGTCAGAAATTGCCTATAGGCTTGATAATAAAACTGAAACCATGAAATAGAAAGGGCAGCAGGAGAATGGACAAATTCTGGCTAAGGGATATAAAATAAAACATGGTAGTGAATTGCTGGCTTTCAGACTTGAGTAGGTCTACATTATCTTAGCAGTCGAGGTTTCAACAGACACTGTGGGGAGGCATTGGGTCATCAGTCATTGGCAGGGAATGGAGGGAAAGGAGTTGAGCATGTCTCATTCGGTAGTTCTTCAACACCAACACATCAATTCCCACTCATTCAACCTCCGTCCTTGAACCCCTGCTATCTCCCTCTCCCAATACTGCCCTCTCCATCTGCCCCTTATTCAACATTCTGATCTTCCCCTCCTTTCAAATCCACCCCAATACCTCCAACTCCAAATCTTCCCTCATTGAGTGAATTGGTGGAAAAAAACAGGACTCTTAAAACGAAACCAAAGACTCTATTCAGAACAGAAAACAAAAATGCTGGAAATCACAGCAGGTCAGGCAGCATCTATGGAGTGAAAGCAAGCCAATGTTTTGAGTCTAGATAATTCTTCATCAGAGCTGACATGAACTGACGTGACTTCACAATTTGGGGAGATCTGACTAAGCATTTAGTACTAGGTTTCTGCTATACGTTAATAGCTTAGGGTACAGAGCACAGTTTTGAAATTTACAGATGACTGAAAATTTGGAAGTAATTTAAGCAGTGAACAACTATTTGTATTTATATAGAACTAACAACATCATTGAACATTCCAGGGTGCTTCAACGCAATGTTATAAAGTAAACTCTGACACTGAGTGCTGTAAGGTAACATTGTGATAGATGACCAATAGCTTGGTCAAAGTGGTAGACTTTGAGAATGTTTTCAACTGAGGAAAGACAAGTAGGAGGATAGGCTTAGGGTAATCATTCCAGAACTTAGGCCTAGATTTTTGAAAGAAATCAAAAATGGAGCAATTCAGATTGAAGACACTCAAGGGACCAGAATCAGAATTTTAATATCTCACAGGGCTGTGAGAATGGAGCAGAGTGTAGAGATTGGGAGGGATTCCAGGCTTTGGAGGGATTTGAAAACCAGAATTAGAATTTCAAAAAGTTGGAAAATTGCTTGAATGGGAGCAAGCGCAGGTCAGGGAGCTCATGGGGTGATCGGTGATTAGAACGAAGGACAAGGTTGCAGATGACCTTGAGTTTGTAAAATGTGGGAAGCCAGTCAGGAATGTACTGGAATAATAAAATCTAGAGGTAACAAAGGCATGAATGAGAATTTCAGCAGCTGAGAGGAATTAAACTGGCTAATATTACAGAGGTGGACAGTGAACCAACTTTTTAGTTTTAGACAGTTGTCAAAGATAGGGAATAGAGTTTGCAAAGAGGACTTAATGTAATAGCTTTAGTTTTCCCTGCATTTAATTGCAGGAAATTTGTGTCTGTGCAGACGCCATCTGATAATGTAGTAACATTGGAAGAGTCGAGAGAGGTAGAGATGAGCCTTGTGTGTGTATACATGTAAAACCTAAAGCTGCATTTTGGATAATATTGCACACAGATGAGAAAGAAAGGACCCAGAATTGATCTTTAGAGGAAAACCATGAGAAGTAACAGATTTCAGGAAGACTTAGGACAGGCTGGTAGAATGGGTGACTGCAATGTGAAGTATGATTCACTTTGGTAGCAAGAATGAGAAGGATAATACATGCTAAATGGTACAACTCCAAAGAGGATACAGTAACAAAGACACTTGGAGGAGATTGTGCACAAATCTTTGAAATGGCAGGACAGATTATTAAAGCATACTGTATTTCAATCTGTATAAGTGCATGTATCGAGTACAAATGCCAGGAAGTTATTGACATAATACATCTGTTTAGTCCCAACTGAACAAGTATGTCCAATTACAGGCACTACACGTTAGGTGGTGGCATTGGAGAGGTATGAAGACATTTACTCAAATAGTTCTAGGGCTAAGAGATTAGTTCTATACTGGGTATGATGGAGAGGCTGACGTTGTTCTCCTTTGATCATTGAAATTTAAGCAGAGATTCAATAGTGCTGTTTAAAATCATGAACTGAATAAAAGGTCAATAGTCAGAAGTCAGAAATTTAAAGTGACTGGCCAATGATGCAGAGATGACATGAGATTTAGAATTCACTACTTGAAAGGGTGGTGGATAAAGATTCAATAATAGCCTTCAAAAGGGCATTGGAGAATTTATTTTAAAAAACGATAGAACAGGATATGGGGCAAGTGTGGGAATGGGACAAATTGAACAACTCTTTCAAAGAGCTGGAGCAGCTTCAATTGGCTGAATGGCAATCTCGTATGCTGCATTCAATGATTCTATGACATTAATTTCCTTTACAAAACATTACCAACCTATGGTTTCCTTCCAGAATCTTCTATTCTAATGAAGCTAAGCTGAGCTACAACTTGGGCTTCAAATGTTACAATGAAACACCAAGAAACCGTCACCATTCAATGGGATCTCTATGAAGCCAAGAGATTTAATGGCAGTAAGAACTGTATGTGAACAATGATAACCTGTAAATCACCTCAGTTACAGTACAAAAACTTCTCATACAATAATCAGATAAACTGGACTCTTTGAATAAGAACCTAAACACTATTGTTTGGATCTGTTCTACGTGTGGTATCTTCTCAAACACTGACATTGCACTATTTAAAATCTTTTAGCATCCATGGTAACGTTTGCATTAAGCTGATGCATTTCTGTAGGGTCGTTTTTCTTTTACAAAGAAGAGCACTGACAGCAAATAACATTGTATGCTTAATATACAATCTTAAATCAAAAACCTTTTGCCGTATCCTAGAAACCTGAAAACCTTTCAAAAACAAGTATGTCGTTTTAATCCAGCAACAGATGTGAACCAGCCTTTTAGTGGCTGATAACAGGATAAGCAAGGGCCAACTTATCAAGAAAATGTCTTAAAACCCACGTTGTTCTCCATGGCAAGTCGGCGTACAGCTGGTGTTGCCAATATTTTCTGCCCTTTTATTTCCTGGTGCGTGTGTTCCTCATTCAACACTGCAGGAGCTTCAACAACATCTTGTTCCGGTACAACAGCTGCAGTAAAAGCACACAGAAAATAACAATATTAGTTTGCTGCGAAAACTAATAGAGTAATTTAGCTTATATTTTTGACCTGGTCCATTGAATGATTCCTCCTGTGCAGTGCCAGACTATATATCTTTACTGATGTCTGTGCAGACATTGAAATACAAAATGTATCTGAAAGAGACTGCTGAAAAATATGACAAAATTTACTGTCAGTTAAAACATGACACCAATGAAATGAATTACAATATTTGTACATGTTATCATTATGAATTAAGATGTTACAATCTGTAAGGTGAGCACACTGCATTTTCACTCATGGGGCTTGGGGTATTAAATCTACCTAGGATCACAATGACACAGACAGCACAAAAGACTGCATACAACCTTAAAAATTTGGACATCAATTTCGTAATTTTCATCTGAGTAACTACTGAGTGGGACACAATATGGTAAAAATCACTTTTGCTGCAGTTTGATAACAGGGTGCTGTGAAGTTGGAGATAACTGGTGAGCCAGAAGGGGAGAACTTTGGTTCTATAACTAATTGTACCCAAGTTGAAGGTGTTTTAAGGGCAATATAGTGGAGAGTTTGATCTGTATCTATATGTATGTGAATAAGCAGAAGAACTTCACAGAAGCTGTACAGTGTAGAAGCAGGCCGTTCAGCCCACGAGTCCACATTATCTCTCGGAAGAGCAGCCCACCCAGACCCACCCCACTAACCTACCCCTGCATTTCCCATAGCTAGACCACCTAGCCTGCACATCCCTGGACACTACGGGCAATTTAGCATGGCCAATCCACCTAACTTGCACATCTTTGGACTGTGGGAGGAAACCTGAGCACTCAGAGGACACTGACAGTCACCCAATGCTGGAATTGAACCTGGGTTCCTGGCGCTGTGTGACAGCAGTGATAACCACTGAGCCACTATGCCGTCCCATAGAGGAGCTTTACATACAACCCGTGAGGAAAATGAAAACTGACAATAGGCGCTTCCTTAAATATAATGAGGAAGAGAGAGAGAGATCAAAGTGAACAAAGGTCTCTTAGAAAATGAATCTGGGAGACAGTTTTGGGAACAAGGAAATGGCAGACGAAATAAACAGATATTCTATATCAGTCTTTATAGTAGAAGATACTTTGAACATCCCATTAATATTAAAGCATGTGGGAGAGGAATTAAATATCATCACCATCAGGAGCAAAGGAGTGTTATACAAACTAATGGGGTTAATGGCAGTAAAGTCCCTTGGCCCTGATGGCTTGCATCATAAGGTCCTAAAAGAGGTGGCTACTGAGATAGAGGATGCATCGGTTGTACAATTCCAAACATCGCTGGATTCTACAGAAATGCCAGAGAATTGGAAAACTATTAATGTGACACCCTATTCAAAAAGGGAGGGAGGCAAAATACAAGTAATTATAGGTCAGAACCTAATATCTATTATTGGAAAAGTATTGGAATCAATTATTAAGGAAGTAAAAGCAGAACGGTTGGAAAATCATAATCTAATTAAGTAGAGACAGCATGGCTTCATGAAAGGAAAATCGCGTCTGACTAATTTATTAGAGTTTTTTTACTCTCAACCAGAGTGGATAGAGGGGAACCAATAGATGTGTTGTACTTGGACTTCCAGAAGGTGTTTGACAGGGTATCTCACAAAAAGCTCTAAGTCATAAGATAAGAGCCCACGGCTGTGGAGGTTGTGTACTGGCATGGATACTAAATTGACAAACAGGCGTGAAACGGCCAGTGAGAATAATGGGTTCTTTATCAGTTTGGAGACCCATGACCAGTGGGTTTCCACAGGGATCGGTGCTGGGACCACAACTGTTTTCAATATACATTAATGACATACAGATGAAAAATGAATGTACCGAACCAAATTTGCAGATGAACTAAACAGGTGAAAGGCAAGTTGCAAAAGCAATATAGTTTACAGAGAGATATTGATAAGTCACGTAACTGGACAAAAAGTTGGTAAGTGAGAAAATGCGAAGTTTTCAATTTGGAAGGGAGAACAAAGGAACGGAATATTATTTAATTGGAGAAAAACTGCAGAAAACTGCAACACAAAGGGACTTGAGGACACTTGTGCATATAATACAAAGAGCTACCACACAGGTGCAGCAGGTAATCAGGAGCTCTAATGGAATGTTGGCCCTTTTTTCCAGGGGTTTGGAGTATAAGAGTAGGGAAGTCTTACTGCAACAGTACACAGTGCTGTTGAAACCACATCTGGAGTACTGTGAGCAGTTTTGATCCCCTTATTTAAGGAAAAATATCATTTAATTGGAGGAATTTCAGAGAAGGTTCACAAGGATGATTCCTCGTATGGAGGGACTATCTTGAGTCCAGACTAGGACTCTAGAAGAATAATTGGTGACATAATTGACACATAGAGGTTTCTTCAGGAGCTTGACAGGGTTAATGCTGAGAGGATGTGTCCTCTCAAAGGTGAATCTAGGGCCAGAGGGCATTGTCTCAGAATGAGAGGCATCAATTTAATAGAGTCATACAGCACGGAAGCAGACCATTCAGTCCAATGAGTCCACACTGACCAAGTTCCCAAACTAAACTAGTCCCACTTGTCTCTTCTCTGAGAGGACTGAAAGGCTTTGGAACTCCTTGCCACAGAGAGCTGTGGGGGCAGATTCCTTGTGTATGTTTAAGGCTGAGACAAGTAGCTTCTTGATCACTGGGGAAATCAAGGGTTCGGGAAAGGGCGGGAAAGTTGACCTGAGGAATGTTGGATTAGTCATGATCCTATTGAAAAGCAAAGCAGGCTTGAGGGGCTGAACAGCCTATTCCCGTTCGTATTTCTTATGGTCTTATGTTGCCACAAACCTGACTGAGTGTGTGTGATCAACACTACTAGTGCTTTTTTTTTTAAACAAACATCTATATACAGATTCTAAAACTATATTCACAATTTCATGAATAGAGGGATGACAGAATTCTGTTACAGCCACACAATAAAAGGAAGATGAATGTTATAATATGAAAGATTCTCTGGACTATCAGTTAGAAACATATTTTGTTGATCCAAGCACCAGTACATGATGAAGCAAAACACTAAACCACTGGGTATAATGGAGTCTCATTAAAATACAACAAACTTGTTCTTCCACTCCCCAATAATGTACAAGCACTGCTGTGGCACTATTAGTTATCTTGTAAACACAGCTCTACAAATCAACAATGCAGTCCCATCAATCTGGCAACGACCACAATCACTGTTATTGTTCTAGTGGGCAAATGAGATCTGTGTATGACAAATGATCATGATCACTTGCAATGAGTACAATGTAGAAATGCTGCTATAGCAGAGCTAATGTGACAAATAAAGAAAGGATCTTTGTCTCAAAAACCTTAGGTGGAATAGCTGTTAATAGTGATTACAATTTCTTCTTCTGGGGATCATGTTCCAACTCACCTGTTAGGTGTGACCATGAGTACTGACAAATAATTCAACATTAAGGATTGTTCAAGAACCTCAACTCTTAAAGATATTTACTGCCGCAAAAGTATTCCAGACATGGAGTATTAATCCAAGCCAAACATCATCAATTGCATTCTGTGCAGCACCCAATAAAAAGAGAAACTATATTTCCTTATTTTCTCAAAGCAAACACATAGCAAAAGAAGAGTTCCCCATATTACTATGTTTTTAAACATCCATTCACTGGATGTGAACATTGATGGTTAGGCCAGCATTTATGGCTCACTCCGAATTGTCCTTGAGAAAATGGTAGTGAACTGCTTTCTTGAACTGCAGCTTTTTTGAGGTGACATGATACAATCTAGTAGCTTGCACTAAACATGAGGTAGCAATTGTGATAGGTATTTTATCATCAGGGGAACAGATAAATGTTTCTTTAGCCCCAGGTGTGATACCAGAATGTTACAATGCCTCCCTGACACAAGGGTCAAGAACATTATTGAGTGGCTGCAGGACTCTCCAAAGTCGGGGGCCAACAGCAGACAACAGCTAGTGGTTGTGATCCATCTCTTTACCAATGACATAGGGAAAAACAGGAATGAAGTCCTGCAAGCAGAATTTAGGGAACCAGGAAATAAATTACAAAGCAGGAGCTCAAATGTAGCAATCTAAGAATCACTCCCACTGCCACATGCTAATTAGATCAGGTACATTAGAATAAACAGTTGAATCGGCAGTTGCTGGAGGCATGATGTAAACGAGAGGAATTTAGATTCTTAAGGCACTGGGACCAATTCCAAAGATGGGATCTGTATAAGCTGGATGGGTTCCACAGCAGCTGGACCAGGACCAATATCCTCGCGGGGGTATTCATTAGTACTGTGGGTAAGGCTTTAAACAGCATGAGGAAAGGAACCTGAGTTGGTAGACAGGGGCAAGGGGAAGGAGGATGGAAATGAAAGATTGAAAAGTAGCAAGCACAAGTGGAAGGCAGAATAACAGAAGGACAGCAGCAAATAGGGCTTTAGTGAAAAAAAGGTACAAAAGTGTCAAAAAGACAAGTTGAAAGATACCCTATATGAAAACACAGAGCATTCATAATAGTATAGACAGTTTAATAATGCAAATTGTTGTAAGGTAAGATATGATTGTGTACAGAAACAGGGCTACAGGGTGACTTAGTCAAGGAACCAAACATCCAAGGGTTTTCAATCTATAGGAATGACACCCATATTGGCACAAAAATGCCAATGGAAATTCTGATGGGTGGAGCTAAGAAGCAATGAGAGGTGGAGGGGAGAAATACAAATGGGAGTTGTCGATTGATTTCCAAACAGTGTATGCATGCAACAAGGGTGCCACTGTCATCATGTAAGACTTCAATCCACATAGAGCTCGCTCAAATCACTCTAGCAATAATACTGTGGCAGGTGAATTCTTACCAACTAGGGAACATGCTTTCCTAGATATGGTTTTGAGCAATGGGAGAAGGTTAATTAATAATCTTATAAAACCAAAATATTGTGGATGGCAGCAATCTGAAGTTCAAAATGCTGGAGA